TATATCTATATATATAAATATACATATATATATATATATATATATATATATATATATATATATATATATATATATAAATATATATATATATAATATATATCCTGTATATATATATATATATATATGTATGTATATATATATATATATATATACACGTATATATACTATATATATATATATATATATATATATATGAATGTATATATATATATTTGATATATATATATATATATATATATATATAATATGAATATGTATTTGCACACATATATACATGTACATATCCAAATACATACACACATATATATATATATATATATATATATATATATATTTATCGACCATGGTTCAGAACAGTGCAAGCATATATGATGTGCAACACATCAGTACTTTAAAGCGTATGTATTGCGCAGAACATTGTCACAAGACGTTACTAAGTACAGAGGCCGTGACTATGGAATACAACATATCAAATGACCAATATAAAAAATTCAGCAACATACGTTGAGATCCATCGCAATTGACCACTTGATGTAGGGAAGCCTTGGGACGAGAGCTTATCAGAGAATTACTAGTATATAATTAACGCCAATGCAGTCATCAATCCCAAGTATCAACACTCCACCCGGTGCCTTTCCTTCAGCTCTAGTGCTTTGACTATAGGTCAGTATCCATGCACCCGTATGAGCGTGTTGACGAAGCCTGGATAGTCTGTGTGGGCGTATCTAATATATATTTTAAGTGTGATAGGATATGTTTTATATATATGTTTAAGCGTTTAATATCCTACAGCTTTAGCTTTAAAATACCTGGTTCTCATGTATAATTACCCTTTTTTTTTAAACCACAATACAATACTCCATTTAAACGTAATCAAATATGTATGCTCCGACTTTCTCGCAGTCATTTAGACTTGACTCGACTTGGCCAATGTTCTGTTCTCTGCTATGACTCGTTGCGATTGGGCCCAGTGGGGGCCCAGGGGGGTGCCTTGGGTTCCTGGCTCTAAGAAATTCGTTGTTGAAATTGAGACAAATCTCGAAATTCCGCTGTCTCAAAGTCAAAGCTCAAGTGCCTAAACTCCAAGCCTCAAGCTCAACTCTCAAGGCTCAAAGTTTCAGACTCTTCATCCTCGCAGTTCACACTTACAGCCTTCAACACAGGTCCTCACACTTCTTCACATAAATCAATTTCAATTTTCGAAGTGCACCAGCACAAGCTGAAAACTGAAAAGGAGTCGCATGTTTACGTTATTATTCGTATAAAAAAAGTCACTTTTAATGCTCTATACGTTAAACGTATTTAGCCCAGTTTGGCCTCGTTACTCTGCCGAGGCCTATTCAGACTTCAGTCATTTTGTGGATTTTAGGGTTTCTAAAACCCTGTTCAGACTATTAAAAAAAAAGTCACTTCGTCTCCCGACTCACAGTCACTTTCATAGTGTTTTTTTTTTACAAAACTTTTATTGAAATAAACCCCCCATGCTAGAGGAGTGAGAGCCTCGGCCGCCTCGCCCTTTAATAAATAAAAAACAACAACGAAACCGGATACAAAAATATGTGGTATTGTACAGTCAAAATAATAACATATCTATTGTTTTTAAGACCTGATGGAGTGGAGTGGTCTCTCTAGCTAGACAAGGAGAACTGCAGATGTTTACGCCTACATGTAGGTTTATTAGGCGTAAGGTTTCAAGGTTGTTAATGAGGTAAATTCTTCCACCAGAAGCCTACTACCCTGTCCGTTCTTAATCTATTATCTATTAAAAGGCATGCATCATGTCTGAAATTCTGGATTTTCCACCAGGGTCTGTCACATCCGTCTGTGGACCATGTTACTGCATTAACTTGGTAGAAGTAAAGATAAAAAAGATTAAGTGTGATGAATGTCAAGGGTTGCTGCTAACCGATATGCTTGTTTCAGATTCGGAGAGTGCATCAAGCGGAAGTGATAACGAAGATGGACCCAGCGCTGATTTATTAACTACATTAAAGTCGGGTGCCGAGTTGCTACATATCATACGTGAGGGAAAAGTACTGCCGGATATTGAATCGGACGACGACTTGCAAAGGTATGTCAGAATGGATTTATAAGCTGAAGCCCTATCCGATTCTTCGGAAAGTGACGATTATAATGACATAGTTCAGAATAGCTGGCCTGACCGGGATGTGACCAATTCGCCTCACAACAGCCGCTTCGAGCAATTACAGAGGGACCAGAGCAGGAATGAAGCCAAGAATCTGAGAGCGAATGCGCAAGAGAAACCAACTACTACATCCTCTGCTAATGTCAAAAAAAATTGTGTTAATGATAAGCTAAAGGGTGGCGTCAGGGGGTCGGCACCTTCAGCAGGACCGGCAAGGACCAGTCTTTACAAGTCTCCGATCGATGCTATGGACAACGATAGTGATAGCGATGAGATGCCGGCATTAATGGGTGATAGTACCGATGACTCTGACAGCGACGTGCCGAGCGACTTGCCAGAGCTGCTGGATGATAGTAGCTCCGATGAAGCCGACATAGTGAACAGGTTTAATGCTAACGACAAGCCTGCATACGCCCGGAGGACGACTCCCATAGTTCCAGATGTAGACATCGACAGTGACGGTGGAGACTCTGACGGACCCCCCGGTCTTTTGTCGGGCTCTAGTTCAGACTCCAGCTAGTTGAGTGCACACGAAAGGACATTGTCCTGGATTTTCCGACATGTATTGGGCTTGAGTGGGTGAGAGTTTTTAGTTCCGCGTAGACTTATCGACCAGTTACTGCCAAGACTGTAGATTCGATGACACATTTTTCCCGACATACCGTGCACTACAGTGTAGGATGGTGAATCGTTACGATGCCAACAAAGCTTACTGGATGCTACTGACTTCCCTGTATTTAGGTGCATGTAGCACGGCTGAGTCGATCCAGCATACTCTCAGGATCGAGCAAGAGGATTGAGTTCATCTTCTCCAAATGTTGTTATACGAAGGCAGAACAGTCGAACATAGACAATAATTACCATAGCGAAGCGTTCCGTAGACGCCACTGGCGAGTACACACACTTAAGCTAGTCCTTCCATACAATACTTGAAGTGTTAACCGTGCTGGGTTTCTCCACACTTGCCCAGTCATCACGAGTGGTACACTGAGTGTCTTGAGCGTTGGTGTAATAAAGAATGGCACCCCGCAAGCTGTCCCTCGAGATGAATTGGGTTTGCGGTGAGCAGCGGGAGCGACGAGCTAGGCCCACGCATCACCAGATGAAAGAATGAGTACATGACTAAACGCGTTGCTAGTGAAACAATGTGTTCGTGATATTGATATGCAGTGCGATTTGCGGTGGAGACCCATGACAATTGGCGCCAGTACCCAACGCGTTAACAGGAGTGAGATTAGGGGCTACTTGGCGCTAGCGAATGTCAAGTTGGTATGGCAGAACATCCAGCCGAGATAAACTTCGCGAAGTAACTATGAACGGAATCGTCGTTTGCTGTGTGTTTGAAGGAGAACACGAACAATAAACATGGTTCGCAATACTTGCTCATGATAGAGCGGTACATGTTAAAATTGGGTGCTGGCGTGGAATGCTCCTGACTCTACATTTTATAAGGTGCTCTGATGAATCTGAGTTGGGATAGTTGGCAACACAAACCCAACCCAAGAACCACTGTCAACCAAATAACTCGAGGCAGAACGCGGCTGAAGAATATATGCGCATGTTTATTTCACAACCTATAATCACCTGCGCCTGGAGGGTGTACACGCGCGGACACATGGACCTCAACTAAGCTATTCTAAGGCCCATCGACTCGAGATAAGTCAAATACCCTATTTAACCGTTCTAAGAGAAAGCTGCATTGCTGGTTCCAAGGCCGCACACGTGTAAATACCAGAAACCGTGAGGGTAGCATAAATTAATGGGACATCTCGTATCCGACATCCGCGCAGCAGTTGGGAATGCCCGGGTTCATCTAGCCCAGCCATGCACGCTCAACACTGCGGGATTGCTTC